TTCACACACACAGAGCTGAACTCACATGCGACGTACAGTTGCCTATGCTCTTTGGTCAGTCAATATAGTTGTCCACGGAAGTGAAGACGATCCTTTAGCTTGAACAAAACGCCTGGCTAGTTTCTTGACTCGAGCGACCAGGTTCCAAAGTTCCCACTTCATCAGTCGATCAAGGGCCTATCGGAGTCATTGGGAACTGAGGAGCTTGAGTCACTTGTTATCAAACGACTTGCCCAACAGATTTCATTGCATCTTTATTCGCAACGTATTCAAAATGCTCGAATTGTGTCAACTGTGGTAAAGTTCAGTTTTGTATCGGCCTTCATACAGGAATCTAGAGAGTTCGATAAATACATTCATTTGGAAGCCAATTTGGTCCTCATGGAGGGCTCGCCTGGTTGAATGCGCTGCACCAGGCCACCCCGCGCTTCAGTTGGCACGATGTTCGAGAAGTCGCAATACATTTTATAGACGTAACTACTGGTGTAACGGTGATACTACTGATGGAGAGGCTTGTGAGTAGTGTGTTTTGTTCTTGTAAATTCGCTTTGCGTCTCTTGAAAAGGGGGATCTGTTGCCGGAATTTGTGGAGTCGCTTCGTAGTATTTGCCTGGATTTGAGCAGTGAATGATTGGAGTCAATGAATATCCAGGAAAGTTCGGGAAGACGCGTTCAGGAGAAGATGGATGTCCAGTTATTGTAAATAAGATGCAAATGAGAGTTTCGCTTCCCTATCCCATAGTCTGTAACTGGTCATTTGGCATTTTCTAATAGGTAACTTCCTTTCACTGGTATGGCCACTGGAAACTGTTCAGCAGCCCATGACCGCTTTCGCTCTCCCCGGAGCCCATCGGCTAAGCGCCGTCGCCAAGTTTCCGTCAACGTTCAAATTGAATCTAAATTGCATGAGGTTTGAAAAGTACATTAATTTGCCCGCCAATTTTGCTTTCACAGGAGGCCCACCTGAATCCCAGCTGAAAATTCTCGTCTATGGTGTTCTTCTTCAACTGAATCTTGGGAGTTTTCAGTGGAATGCTAAGCGTCGAACGCCACCCCTTTTGAAGTAAAAGTTAGGCCACCACTTTGAGGACAAATTACAGACAATATTGTAAAAGTATGATTGGTTTGGCTGCGTCATTTGGCGGTGTGATTGCTGTAGGACAAAATCCGTGTGAACTGCCCGAAACGCTCACTGCTGCGCGTTAGCGTATCAGCACTCCGCTTTTCTCATTTTTTTTTAGACTTTTTTGGTATTTTGTTTGATCCCGAAGACGGTGCAAGCCACCCTCCGTCAATACGACAGCATACCGCTCGTTTTTCGGGCCGTTTAGTCAGTGTAGTGTGCTCATTCCCCCGGGCATGTGTGCTGTCCAGGCATCACCCAAGCAAACGTCGGCTGAAGGGGCGTAGCAACACTCACTGACGCTGTCAGATGGATGTTAATCACAGAGCTTTTTCGCAACCGAATCGTCAATTTAGTAGATGCGTCAAAGGATGCTATCAGCACCGCGATTTTACACGTTTTCTTACTAGATGCAGTTGCCCTTCCCTGGATCCAGAAATTCGGAAAACGTTTAAGTGTTTAAAAAGTGTTTTTGGACGTCATTTTGCTCCACTCATCAACCCGTTGTTCATATTTTCGTGTATTTTGGACTACCTCACCAGGCGAACGATTACACCGCTTGGTAATGATATCCGTATCCAACATAGTTGCACGTCCCCACTTTGGCAGTTTGTTTAAACCTACCTAGGTCACCTATCAATTTCGAGGACAACGAGGCTGTTTGAAACCTTTTTGTTGCCAACTCTAATATCAGACACACTACTGCCATAGATTTCATTTTTTCAGAAGCCGTCTTGTGTGCACAGCAATCCTATCTTGCAAAAACGTTTACAGGTGACCTACAACAACTTCAAAGTTCATATTTTCCGTTAGTTGTGCATTCCATCCTAAAGTTTGCACGAAAGTCCTTTGCACTTGGCTCAAACTCACTGAAGCAGTCTAAATCAGGACATCGAAGCCGTGTTCGGGCAAAAGTACTTGCTTAATGGTGGCAAATGGATAAGTCAACTGCAAAGTACTTTAGGACCTTTTCTTGTTGCACCCCTGCGGTTAAAAGTCTACCTGTTGAAAACTGGCTTACTCGAAAACATCTATGTTACTGTTATATTTGGTGATTCGCCAATCTGCTGCTGACCCGCTCCAGTGCCTAGTGCCCGAAAAGACGCACAGAAGGGAACACGACAGCTTTATTCCAAACAAACGAGTGCGAGAGCGTGAGTGCCTGCGGTTAGGAAAATACGACGATCTCATGCTATTTATTGGAAGGGCACTGTGTGAAGTTGGTCCAACGCTGGCGCACGCGGTCTAGCTTTGGTACGAGGCTGTGACGCGCTGCATATTGCGGGGGCGTTGTCTGACCTTGATCAATGTTGACTCGCGCTGTCCGGATTTGATACACGGCTGTGATGCACTGCATATTTAGGGGGCGTTGTCTGACCTTGATCAACGCTGACTCTCGCTGTCTGGGCTCGATACAAGGCTGTGAAGCGCTGCATTTTGCGGGGGCGTTGTCCGTCTGGTCAGCATCTATCGGAGCTGAGAGTCACCTTAGATTCCGGGCATTCAGTGGTTGCTTTCAGGAATCTGATCATCCTGATAGTTACATACCGACCCGTCCAGGAAGACTGATTGATATGTTGGGGTGTCCTCTCAATACCTCGAAGTTTATTCCACCAAACTGCGATCTCTGGACACCACGATATCTAATTTATTTTGTATGTTTGGCCAGGTTGGCCACCTAAAAACACTGGTCCCAAAGAGCAATCTGAAAGTAAACACTCAAAACTCAAAAACTCTATCGAAGTACCGATCATAAACGCGTCACAAATGGACGATAAACCTTGAGCAACCCTTACAAGTCAAGTACCATTTGCGACCTACAGCTGACACCCAGACAGGGACATGTTAGACCTCGCAACCAAACTAGTCCCACTAGCGGAAGATGCATTGTGCACGAAAACTTAACTCCATTTAATCAGAAAGCGGTACATCACCTGTTACGAAACTGTTATACATCGAGCATATACACACATATACATGTCTATATCAACTGTTTGTACATTGGATGGTCTTACTGCACCATCTCCAAACCAGTAGCAGGCTATCCGCGACTGCCGAGTGTACGCCTTCGGTTTTAGCATAATACCAGTTGCAGTTACCACGGCGTCATCCGCAACGCCACTTTTACGTTCAAAGAGGCTTCAAAAACGCAACGATCCTCTGCAATATCAGGCTGTTTTTGGGCACACAAACTACAGTTCATCGATCGGATGTGATTGAGCGTAGAGTGCTGAAGACCGCTCGCAAACCTTTGAACTAGAGAAAAGTGTGGTACCTCCGAATCCGTACTTACAAGCCCCTCAAAAATTAATGAAGAGATCGAACCCTTATCAGTTCTGATTTCTGTTATCATTGTAAGTTGTCATCATGAAACCTCGAGGATGCCAACCTAATAGCAACGAAAAACAACGCTGTGCGCCAAAACCACCACTCTGTTGGTGTATGCCTGTACTTGAATGACCCGAATCATGAAGAGTCCAACGATCGAGACCAAATCGATATACACGCTTTACCATTCACAGTATGAAATGTCGTAGCGGACAGAGGTACTAGTCCGTTGTTTGGCAAAAGGTTGATTCAACAAACAGTTATGGCAAATCTTTACAGGTGTCAGTAGGCTCCCCTTAGGTGAACTGGGATTGGATTGGTCGTTTAGCTGCGTTCAGTAAAGAAACCAGGAAGGAAAAGCTTCAAAAAGCGTCTTTTTCTGGTAGCATTGGATGAAGTCTCTGTGGCGTTTGAACCCCTAACGACATATGCTCTGACTAACTCGTTTTTGTATATAAAGCTTCGGTTACCATTGTACTTTTTTCCTAGAACTTACAAAAACACATTCGTGATTTTGGGAGTCAAAGCGTTGGTTTTATGCAGTCTGATAACTTATCCATTAACAGTTTGATGACGGCCGTAGGCAGGTTGTTCACATGGGGAAAATCACACGGTGAATTTGCAAATCACATGCGCCATAGTACGAGTTCATCCGACTAACGGCACCTGCTAAATTTGCCAGCCGACAATTGACAGGACCAGAGTCGATTATCAGCCATGGTGAGCAGACACAACGATTACATAAAGTGCATTCTAGGCGGCAGTCATTTCGTGTTTGTCGGGCACGCGATGACACAGGGACCGCTAGCTGTTCCGTTTATCAACGTTTACAAATAAACCCAAACTTTGCCGGCCCGTGTTGCATTTGAGTTTCGAGATAGATTGGTTATCAGGTATAACACACGTTCTGCAGACTGCTCAATACAATAGGTCGAAGAATTTCACAGATCTTATGCAGAATTACCATTGATAGCATAGTTCTTCTATGACTGATGAGAACTTCTATATCTCAAATGTCAGATGAAGTGCCACAATTGGTGGAGGCCAACCTTGAACTAAGTTTAGTAATTACAGAGTGTTTCCACCTACTGTTACCATCAGATTCTCCTATCCCCCAAACATCTGGTAGTTACCCAAGCGGATTTTGGGCAACAGAACTCGTGCGGCGCTCGACCGCGCTTTTGTCCACAGTTCAGGCAACAAGCATCGACGTTTGTCCGGGGATTAACTTTCTTCGAACACCAAAAGAGAGTTAGCTTCGGCCATGACGAGGATTTCAGTTTAGTTGTGATTTTGGGGTTTTGCTGGATAGGTACTTTGTTCATAGCCACACCACTCTCGTTTGAACGGCCGTGTTCCTGTTCTGGCGTAATTATCCCGGTGGGTCCACACCAAAGGGAAGCACTGAAATCGAGTTTCGCTCTTATTAGAGCTCATCAGCAGTGCACATCCAACGGCCGTGCCGGGATTTGAACCCCGGACATCTGACCTGCGAGGCGAGCGTGTAACCACTACTCCACCAACGCACGTTGGACGCATCTGAATTATCATGTCTGAACAGGCGAACGTGTTCACACTTGAGCGATGTGATTGGTGTGCCCGACTCATCGAACGACAACCCAGTAACTATAGATTGAAGAACTTTACAGGCAGAAAGACTATGTTCGTCAGCTTTCCAAAATGATAACCACTTGTTGCCTTTTCTTCTTTTAACATGTCTTCTGTCTTGTTGAGCCACATATTCATCGGGCTAAACACGATATTCAAGAGACAAAAGTACACTTTCTTGGTATGAGGGTGAGATTGACCTCGAAGTTTGGAGATTCCGATAGGGAGCAAGCTATGAGGGGAAAAGTTGACTCTTCTGGTCACGAATGGACAAATATAACAGGCTAGATGACCGCATTCTGATGTCAGGTAACAGGTGTAACAGAAGATGCTCAGCCACTGCTCGCTTCGAACAACATCCAGGAACAGAAAGAACTAGTGGCTGCTTCGTTATCTAGAGTGAGATTAAGCCCATCTGCTTGTTATCTCATTTGGATAAAATCAACGCACGGTTTGTCTATCGCCAATCGAGGAGACGTTCTCAATAGAATATTTTGTCAGATCAGAAAGGTGTTCTCTTGACCGTGTTCCCTTGCTATCCACCTTATCATGAGGCAAGCATATTGCTCACTGAGATCAACGAGCTGAACAAGGGAAGTCTCCAAAAGCGCGGCGGGCCTCAGGACTTCATTGTAAAGAGAAATTAGTTGCTAATAGGTTCCTGAAAAACCAACCAAATCCAGGACAATGCAAGGCGCATAGAGACCGATGGAATCAAAAGGAAAACTGTTATGGGTGGCTACTCGTGCGGTGCTTAATGCGCGAATCAACTGACCGGAAGGTCCGTGGTTCAAACCCAACGTCTGCATCTCGACTGCTTTCATCTAGATTTCGGCAACCAGAAAGTATCTCGTGGCTTCCTTCGTGAGACATGATAGCTAAGCACCGTAGGATTGTTACAGCTGAACGATATA